GCTTCCCACAGAGAGCCAGCTTCTTCATCTGTCTATGTCTCTGCCTCTCTCTATCTCTCATGAATAAATAAATAAAATCTTTTTTTAAAGCTTTTTTTAAATATATTTTTTAATTTTTATTTATTTATGATAGTCACACAGAGAGAGAGAGAGAGAGGCAGAGACACAGGCAGAGGGAGAAGCAGGCTCCATGCACCGGGAGCCCGACGTGGGATTCGATCCCAGGTCTCCAGGATCGCGCCCTGGGTCAAAGGCAGGCGCTAAACTGCTGCGCCACCCAGGGATCCCAAATAAATAAAATCTTAACAAAAATAAAGAAGAGTTACTACCAGTTCTTTACAATCTAATTCCAAAAAGAGAAAAGGAAGGAAAACTTCTGAATCCATCCAATGAGTCCAGCATTACCCTGATGCCAACACCATATAAAGACTACAGGAAGAATAAGATGCCTGGGTGGCTCAGTGGTTGAGTGTCTGCCTTTGGCTCAGAGCATGATCCTGGCATCCCAGGTTCGAGTCCCATATCGGGCTTCCTGTGTGGAACCTGCTTCTCCCTCTGTGTCTCTGCCTGTCCCTCATGAATAAATAAATAAAAGCTTTAAAAAAAGAAGGAAGGAAAAACCTCAGGTCAATATTCATGATAAAATGGGGCCAAAAATTCTCAGCTGACTACTATTAAACTGAATCCAACAATACCTTAAAGTAATCATTTACCAGGGATCCCTGGGTGGCTCAGCAGTTTAGTACCTGCCTTCAGCCCAGGGTGTGATCCTGGAATCCTGGATCGAGTCCCACATTGGGCTCCTTGCATGGAGCCTGCTTCTCCCTCTGCCTGTGTCTCTGCCTCTGTCTGTGTGTGTGTCTCATGAATAAATAAATAAAATCTTAAATAAAATAAAATAATCATTTACCATGATCAAGTGGGATTTATTCCTAATTTGCAAGGGTGGTTTGATATTCACAAATTGAGCAACATGATACATCATGTTAATCAAAGAAAAGATGAAAAACGTGATCCCTCAATAGATGCAAAAGAAGCATTTGACAATATACAACATCCACTCATTATAAAAACCTCAACAAAGTGGGTTTAGAGGGAACATGACAGAGTAAAGGATATATAACCTCTGCTAATATCCACTATGGCGAAAAACTGAAAGAGCTTTTCCTCTATAGTCAGGAAAAAGACAGGGATGTGCACTCTCACCACTGTTATTTCACATAATACTGGAAGTCCTAGCCTCAGCAATCAGACAACAGAAAGAAATAGAAGGCATCCAAAGTGGCAAGGAAGTGGTCAAGCTTTCACTATTTGCAAATGACATAATACTCCACATAGAAAACCTGAAAGACCCCACCAAAAATTACTAGAACTGAACATGAATGAAGTAAAGTTGCAGAATGAGAAATCAATGTACACAAATCTGTTGCACTGCTATATAACAATAATGAGGCAACAGAAGAGAAATCAAGGAAGTGATTCAGTTTAAAATTGTACCAAACCCAGTAAGATATCTAGGACTCAACCTAATCAAAGACCTGTATTTGGAAAACTATAAAATACTATTTTTATTTATTTATTTTTATTTTTTAATATGTATTTTTTATTGGAGATCGAATTGCCATCATATAGTATAACACCCAGTGCTCATCCCATCAAGTGCCCACCTCAGTGCCTGTATAAATAAATATAAGAAGATACAATGAAATGGAAAGGAGTTCCATGCTCATGGATTGGAAGGACAAATATTATTAAAATGGCTATGCTATCCAAAGCAGTCTCCACACATACTACAATCCCTATCAAAATACCAGCATTTTTTTTCAGAGAAGTAAAACAATCCTACAATGTGTATGGAGTAACAAAAGACCGCAGATACCAAAACACAATCTTTCAGAAGAAAAGGAAGGCTAGACACATCACAATTCTGAACTTCAAGTTATATTACAAGGCTGTAGCAATAAAAAATACTGACAAAAAAATAGACACATAGATCAACAGAATAGAATAAAAAAGATTGGGAATAAACTCACAAGTTTATTGTTAATTAAACTTTGACAAAGTAAGAATGACTACCTAATGGATAAAAGATAGTCTCTTCAACAAATGGTGTTGGGAAAACCAGACAGCAACATGAAGAAGAATGAAACTAGACCTTTATTACATCACAAACAAAAGTAAATTCAAAAATGGAATAAAAACTTAGGACTAAATATGAAACATGAAACCATTAAAATCCTAGGGGAGAACACAAAAAGTAGCGTCTTTGGTGTAAGCCATAGCAACTGCTTACTAGAAATTTCTCCTTAGGCAAGGGCAATAAGAGCAAAATAAACTACTGAGACTTCAACAAAATAAAAATGTATTGCACAGCAAAGACAACAATCCACAAAATCAAAAGGCAACCTATAGAGTGAAGATATTTGCAAATGACATACCAGATAAAATGTTAGTATCCAAAATATATGAGGAAGTTATAAAACTCAACACACAAGAAATTAATAATCAAAATTTTAAAAAATGAGCAAAAGACATATATAGACTCCCCCCCCCCAAAGAGTACATACAGATGACCACTAGACACAGAAAAGATGCTCAAAACCATTCATCATCAGGGAGATATAAATCAAAATTAAAATGAGGTATCACCTCACATGTGTCAGAAAGCTAAAATAAACAACACAAGAAACAATAAGTGTTGGAGAGGATGTGAAGAATGGTGTTGGAGAGGATATGGAGAAAGAAAGTTGTACAGAAAGAACTGTACAACTCTTTTATAGTTGGTGGGTATGGAAACTGGTGTGGTCACTATGGCAAACCAATACGTAGATCCCTCAAAAAGTAAAAATAGAAATACTCTGATTGAGCAGTTGTACTACTAGATGCTTACCCGAAGGATACAAAAATACTAATTTATTATTCATTTATCCATTAGTAAACATGCCACTTCATTGTTTCTATAATTATCCACAATACCAAAATTATAGAAAGGGCCCAAATGTCCATTGACTGATGAATGGACAAAAAAGATATGGTGTATAGGTAAAATGGAATATTACTCAGCTATCAGAAAAAAATGAAATCTTGTCATTTGCAAGGATGTGAATGGAGTTAGACTATATTATGCTAAGGGAAATAAGTCAGTCAAAGAAAGACAAATACCATATATGATTTCACTCATATGTGGGATTTAAGAAACAAAACAAAGAAGCATAAATAAAAAAAAAAGAAAGAGGCAAAACAGGAAACAGAATCTTAACTATACATAATAAACTGATGGTTACCATAGGTTAGGTGGGATAGATGATTTGTATTTGAAGAAAAATGCTTATGTTCACCAACAAATAATAGTAAAAAATTAAATTAAACTAAACTAAATTAAATTAACAATTAGAAAGTATATATGGGGCATACAGGCCAAATCATTAAAAATAATAAATTGCTGAAAGTGGAAACTATCACTTGTATGTAAAATAATACATTTGGAGAATTGATGTATTCTATAGAGGTCTTAGCCAAATTATCTACTTTTTTTTAATTATCTTTAAGTAATTTCTATACCCAATGTGGGGCTAGAATTCACAACCCTGAGTGTGGGGCCCCATGCTATATTGACAGAGCCAGAAGCCTTCCAATTTTCTACTTCTCTAGTTATGTCATGTTTCACATCATATTTTGCCACAAGTCTCAAGTGTCTGCTTTTTACCAATCTCCAGAGACTGACCAGTTCTTGCTTCTCTACCATTGCCACTTCTATGCAAGGCAGTATCTTGTAACAACTGCACTACTGCAATGGACACCTAATTATGAACTTCAGTTGTCTCTAGAAGCACAGCAATCATTGCCGGTTTTCTTGGATTAAAACCCAAATCCTTACAATGACCTAACATTTCAGATCTAGGCTCCATTATCTTTACAAATTTCCTACAGTTTATGTCTTGATTTTCATTGCCTTTGATTTTACACCTTGATTTTTATTCATGAGCTATCCTTGTTTATTCATCAAGACATTTTCATTGGCTTCTTCTGAAGGCTATAACATTCCTAATGAAATATCCATTTGAATTATTTATTCATTTCAGTTCAATTTTTGACCAAATATCATTGTCATATTTGCCCCTACAGTGGACTGTTCTATATAAAATTGCAAAACTCTCTGGTCTTTGTCAATTTTCAGGTTTTTACCTAATAATTACTACTTTGTGATATACTCCAGAGTTTTAATGTTGATTTTATTTTATTTTATTAATTCTATGTCTTCCTGCATTGGAATGTAAACTTAATGAGATCAGAGAATTCTATCAGTTCTTACCTTTGTTTAATGCCATATCGTCAGTGTCTGTGCATTGCAACACACATATTTAAAACCTTAAATCGGTTGTTGAGTGAAAGCATGAATGAGTGAATTACTTACTCTGATCTGTCTTACAGTTTTTTTTAACAAAGATACTTTTAGTACTATATTCTTGAGTAGAATATGTTTCCTACTCATTGAAGTCAAACTTTAGGAGGACATTACAAAGGAGGACTGGTTTGGCTCGGTGGCTGAGTGCCTTTCACTCAGGGTGTGATCCTGGGCTTCTGGGATCCAGTCCCACATCAGGTTCCCCATGGGGAGTCTGTTTCTCCCTCTGCCTATATCTTTGCCTCTGTGTGTGTGTGTGTGTGTGTCTCTCATGAATAAATGATTTTTAAAAGGACATTAAAAACATGTTTTGAGATGCAAACATTGAGTTGACAGTTTAAATGTAATGTTAGAAGCTAAATGATGTTGATAGAAAACCATTTTTCCACATACAAATATGGAAAAACATACAGTTTCAACACCTATGATTAAACCATTCAGATGCCAGCAGGAATCAAGATATTTATCAATTCATCTTATAACTATTTCTTAAACTTTATATACTCCAAAACAATATTCTAGGCAAAGTGATCAATGTTGGTCAGTCTCCATTAATGAAAGGTGCCCAAAATGACATTTCTCATGCAAATATTCATTATGCCAACAATCTTCTCATGGCCCTAGTAACCTCTTTATTCCTCAGGCTATAGATAAATGGGTTCAGAAGAGGTGTGATGATGGTGTAAAACACTGCCACTGCCTTATCTTGTTCTGGAGAATGCATGGAGTGTGGCCTGGTATAAGTAGAGAGAGTAGTCACATAGAATAGGCTTGCCACAATCAGGTGAGAGGAGCAAGTGGAGACAGCTTTTGTCTGTCCTTTACCTAAGCTTATCTGGAACACAACAGTAAGTACTTGGGCATAGGAAGCTAGGATGGCCAAGAATGGTAGCAGCAGAATAATTAGCCCACTCAGGAGGATTGTATACTCATACTGGGAAGTATCCTGACACACCAGTGGCAAAAGAGATGGAACTTCACAGAAAAAGTGGTTAACAATCCGAGACCTACAAAATGGAAGTTGAAATACATACAGTGTATGTACTAAAGCATTGGTAGAACTACTGGTCCATGCACTTGTAACCATGAACCAACAGATCTTCTTGCTCATAAGGATAGGATAACGTAAAGGGTGACAGATGGCTAAATATCGATCATAAGACATGAAACCAAGGAGAAGGGCTTCAGTCCCACCAAGGGCCAAGAATACAAAGGCTTGAATCTCACATCCCAAAAATGTAATATTCTTACTGTTTGACAGGAAGTTAGTGGTCAACTTGGGCACGGTCGTGGATATGTACATCATGTCAATAAAGGAAAGCTGGCTGAGTAGAAAGTACATTGGAGTGTGGAGTCTGGTGTCCACCTGAATTAAAAGGACCAGTATGATGTTCTCCATCAGAGCCACAGAAAAAAGGATTACAATGGCAACAAAGAGGAACATGTCCATTTGACCATATTGGAAAAGACCAGAGAGTATAAAGTCTGTTTCTACACTTTGATTTCCCATCTTCATAATTTAAAATGAGACATCAGAGAAGATCGTATCGCTAGAATTCATGTAAGACCATGACTGTCCTTTAAGAGAAAAGAAAATGATAATTACTGAACGCCTTATATTGCCTCCATACCACTTCCTCAGCCAAGTGAAATATCCAGACCATAGACTTCTTTTAAAATGATATGAAACAAAATTAACTTTATTAGAGTAACTTTCAGAGAGTAATTCCAGTATTATCAGAGCTTAATCAGTCTTTACACACAAGACACCTTTATGGAATATATGGTTGCTCAATTAATTTTCTTAGCCCACACTTTTTTCTTTCAATTATCTTATGAATTTATTCCAATCAATCCCCCAGTGAATTTATGCTAGTATTAAAATACTTTAAATTTATGTCTTGATTGAAAAATATGTTTCACCTTCTTATTTTCTTTTGAACAAGTATAGGATTCTTAGGTCTTTTCCTTAGTTTACACTAGATTCCTTATTCAGGTTTCTTCGTGCCCCAGTTCCACAGATAATATTGTGGTAAGTCTTTGAACCATTGAAAAAGACTGTAAAAACTCTCCATAATGCTGAATCACTCAACTTTAGTCTATTCAGGTATAATATAGCATAAATACAAAACATTTCAATAATTCCAGAATTTTTACGCCTTTATAAAGCATATACAGGGTTATCTAATCAGATTTTTTGCCACCTCTAATTCCAAAAATGGATAAAGAAGATATTATATATATATATATATCCTCCATTTATATATATCTGTGTGTGTGTGTGTATAAGGGAATAATACTCAGCTAGAATAAAAAGAAATCTCATATATATATGAGAAATACTCATATATATGAGTATCATATGTATGTGTATATATACAGATATATATATAATGGAATAATATATATATGTGTATATATATATATATATATATATATATATATATATATATATAATACCCAGCTAGAAAACAAAGCAGAGGATCATAAGGGAAGAGAGGAAAAAATAAATCCAAGTGAAATCAGAGAATTAAACAAAGCGTAAGAGACTCTTAATCATAGGAAACAAACTGAGAGTCACTGGAGGGGAGGTAGATGGGGGGATGGGATAAACTGGGTGATGGGCATTAAGGAGAGAACCTGAAGTAAGGAGCACTGAGTGTCATGATGAATCACTGAACTGTATCTCTGAAACTAATAATACATTGTATGTTAATTAACTGAATTTAAATAAAGTTTTTTTAAAAAAGATAATACTATGCTAAGTATTTAAAACATTGAAGGTTTAAATTAAAACCTTTAAAACCTTTCCATAAATTTCAAGAAGTTAATTTTAAGCTATGCAATGTATAATACATTACAAATAGTAAATAATTCACCAGATTGATGTAGAAAGTGTGCTAAAGTAAATATTGAGATTAGAAACACATAAAAGACATCATGCATCTTCTTTTTCCCAAAGAAAATCTGCTTAGTCCCATACTCCTCCTTCAATATTCAAAATATTTTCTAGCTACAGGTAAAATTCCAATTTAAAAGTTCAATTCACTTTAATAGAGATATATTGAGGACTGACAGCCTTTATGATATCTTCATAACTATAGTTTAAAAATTATGATTCTCATTTGTGTGGAATCAGAAAAGACCCCGAATAGCCAGGGGAATTTTAAAAAAGAAAACCATATCTGCGGGCAACACAATGCCAGATTTCAGGTTGTACTACAAAGCTGTGGTCATCAAGACAGTGTGGTACTGGCACAAAAACAGACACATAGATCAATGGAACAGAATAGAGAATCCAGAAGTGGACCCTCAACTTTACGGTCAACTAATATTCGATAAAGGAGGAAAGACTATCCACTGGAAGAAAATCAGTCTCTTCAATAAATGGCTGGGAAAATTGGACATCCACATGCAGAAGAATTAAACTAGACCACTCTCTTGCACCATACACAAAGATAAACTCAAAATGGATGAAAGATCTAAATGTGAGACAAGAGTCCATCAAAATCCAAGAGGAGAACAAAGGCAACACCCTTTTTGAACTCGGCCACAGTAACTTCTTGCAAGATACATCCACGAAAGCAAAAGAAACAAAAGCAAAAATGAACTAATGGGACTACACAAGATAAGAAGCTTTTGCACAGCAAAGGATACAGTCAGCAAAACTCAAAGACAACCTACAGAATGGGAGAAGATATTTGCAAATGACCTATCAGATAAAGGGCTAGTTTCCAAAATCTATAAAGAACTTATTAAACTCAACAGCAAAGAAACAAACAATCCAATCATGAAATGGGCAAAAGACATGAAGAGAAATCTCACAGAGGAAGACCTAGACATGGCCAACATGCACATGAGAAAATGCTCCGCATCACTGGCCATCAGGGAAATACAAATCAAAACCACAGTGAGATACCACCTCACACCAGTGAGAATGGGGAAAATTAACAAGGCAGGAAACCACAAATGTTGGAGAGGATGTGGAGAAAGGGGAACTCTCCTGCACTGTTGGTGGGAATGTGAACTGGTGCAGCCACTCTGGAAAACTGTGTGGAGGTTCCTCAAAGAGTTAAAAATAGACCTGCCCTACGACCCAGCAATTGCACTGTTGGGGATTTACCCCAAAGATTCAGATGCAATGAAACGCCGGGACACCTGCACCCCAATGTTTCTGGCAGCCATGTCCACAGTAGCCAAACTGTGGAAAGAGCCTCGGTGTCCATCGAAAGATGAATGGATAAAGAAGATGTGGTCTATGTATACAATGGAATATTCCTCAGCCATTAGAAACGACAAATGCCCCCCATTTGCTTCGATGTGGATGGAACTGGAGGGTATTATGCTGAGTGAAGTAAGTCAATCGGAGAAGGACAAACAGTGTATGTTCTCATTCATTTGGGGAATATAAATAATAGTGAAAGGGAATAGAAGGGAAGGGAGAAGAAATGGGTAGGAAATATCAGAAAGGGAGACAGAACATGAAGACTCCTAACTCTGGGAAATGAACTAGGGGTGATGGAAGGGGAGGAGGGTGGGGGATGGGGGTGAATGGATGACGGGCACTGAGGGGGGCACTTGACGGGATGAGCACTGGGTGTTATTCTGTAAGTTGGTAAATTGAACACCAATAAAAAGTAAATTTATTATTAAAAAATTATGATTCTCAATCAGAAATAAATAGAATTACAATTGTAGCCTTAACGGATTAATTAATGGCTTGGATTTCAGTATGAGGTAAAAAAAAAATAAAATAACATCATCTTAAGTATGTTTTAAATCAAAACTGGAAACTTGGCAGGAAATATAGACAATATTAAAGTTTACTTTATCATGGTAGATTTGAGTGTAAGATTTAAGAGATATGAGATTAAATATTATGGGTTCCATAAACTGAAAGTCAAAAATTTCAACCAAAACATTATCAATGAGCAATTATATCTACAGTTAGTTTCATCATAATAAATCTGATTCGTATCATAGTCCACACACATATTTGCATTTTTAATTCTCCATGTTTCCCCTTCAATTTTGATTTCTGCTCATATTAAAATATTTAATATAAATTTCATTTAATGTAATAGCTTTACATTAAATTACATTACATTTACATGTAATGTAAAGCTATTACATTAAATAAGTTATCAGAAAATTCATATCAAGAGATAGAAAGTAAAGAAATTAATAGAAATAGGAGCCAAGCATGTAGAAACTATGTTATCTTCTTCATGTTATTAAGGCAATAATAAGAAAAATATCAACACAGAATTAGTCATAATATCCATGAATTTTATAGAACCATAAAATATATAGACATTTTATATTAATATAGGTGCATAACATTCTCACCATGTATTTTTATTTTCTGAAATACTTCCTCTATTTTACATATCTTTATTATTTCAAATATTGTTAGGTATAAATTTTTACTATGCCTAATAAAAATGTTAAGTTTTAAATGAGAAAGAACAGGTATTTTTACTATCTAATTCAGAATGTAAGCATGTTCTAGGGTTATAGTCTCTTAGGGAGAAGATACATCCTGCTACCAAACTCTCATCCTATCTCGCTATGTCAAGATCTCTCCATCCCCTCTGTTTTTGTTACCTAGGATGAACAAATTCAATATAAGACAAAACAAATCTGTTACAAACCTCTATACTCTTTTTATAGAAGTCATTTAAGTAATATGTTGATCACCTATCTCAGTCTCGAGAATATGCACATATCAGAAGCATAATATAATTCACTGTACATAATCATTAAAATGAAATATATTTGCTTATATAGTATATCTGAGTTTAATTGCATGTTCTCTTTTTTTATGTAAGTTTTACTAAACTCATCAAGGCACTCTAATTTCTTTTGACTTACTTCAAGAGGACTCAGCAGAGTAAGTACCTATTTGGCAGCTGAATGATCATTACTGAAAGAAGACTTCTTTCATCAAGCCATGCCTATGAAATTAAAGAAAAATGTATTTCCTGATAGTACCATATTTTCTTCTAGATGAGCAGATTTAGAAATTGTCTTTAATTTTATAAAATAAGCAATCTAAAAGTCATTTTCTTTGAGGTATATAGGCCCTTATATAGATCTGTATCTCATTCTTCTAGAATTTTGCTTTTAAAACAAAACATTGAAAAAGAGAATGAAATGGAGACTGGGTGGCTCAGGCAGTTAACTGTCTGTCTTTAGTTCAAATTATGATCCCAGGGTCCAAGAACTGAGTCCCACATCAGGTTACGTGTCTATTAGGGAGCCTGCTGCCTCTACCCCTCCCACCAGCTCCTGCTGTTGTCTCTCTCACACAAAAATAAATTAAGTAAATTTTTTTTAAAAAGAAAAAGAAAACGATGGGACACCTGGGTGGCTCAGTGGTTGAGTGTCTGCCTTTGGCTCAGGGCATGATCCTGGAGTCTCAGGATCCAGTTCCACGTTGGGCTCCCTGAATGGAGCCTGCTTCTCCCTCTGCCTATGTCTCTGCCTCTCTCTTTATGGGTCTCTCATGAATAG